ACAAAATTGGTACTTTGAGTAAAAAAAAAAACAAAAACAAACCTGTTTGACAAATATTATTTTCCAAGTAGTTTACAAGCAATATGCAAAAAACCCTCCATCTGTCTAATTTATCCATTTCAAGTTAAAAGTTCTAGTTGAGAATTGAAGCTTTATAAAAACAGATATTCAAAATATACAATTTTTCCTTCCAAGATAGAGAATCACTTCTTGTCAAGTGATTCTTGGAACCCAAGTATGACAGGACCTGCAAGTCATCCTATCTCCAGGAGCCCTAAACTGCTGGTTTTACTGAAGTTATACTGTGCTTTGATCCTCTACCAGAATATAGAATAATCAAGCCAAGTAGAGCAGGAAGGCACAAAGGGCATTTTGAAAATAAAAAATGGGAGGGGATTATATCCATACAATCATTATACACATATTTACAAGTGAATTGAATATTGGAAAATAAACGCCCCTCTCCCCCCATTATTTTGATGAAATGTATTTTCTTCTTAAAGCAACTCTAAAAAGTACCTATATTACAATGTCTCTTGTAAAAGACACGAAAAACAATTTTAAACCAGGGAACAGGAGTAAAAATAGAAATGGCCATCCTGGAAAAAGCAGAAAATGAAGTGTGGTGAATTCTGCTTTTCATTCAAAAATCCTGTTCTGATTACCAGTACAGAATATGAAGTCATGCTGCATATGAGGGACCTGAATTTTTCATTAAATCTGTGAAAGGCAGAGCAGAGCACTTCACTTACTTTCATGCACAGATTCAAACACTAGACCTCAAGTGAGCACAGAGATCTCACCTGTGTAATGACCTCACACATATAAAGGTCCACAGAGCATAAGGTCAAGCCACTAATGGGTGATTTTCCTTTAAATATGTACCATCATCAGAAGCATTTCAACAGACACACAGTTGGGATTTTTCACACTTTTATTTTTATAAATTGTTCATACTGAAAGTTTAAGATTTATTTATCTGTCATTCTTACCTTCATATGCCAGAAGAGAAGGTCAGAGTCTAAATGGGCAAGCTATGAAACCACCAGAATTTACAACACAGAGAAATTCCTAACTTCTGCTTCCTCAGATGGTAAAAATTACTTTAAATTAATAGAGCTGAAAGAAATGACACTCAGGAAATAACATACCAGCAACCCTGGGAGGCTTAAGAGAGCTGCATCCATTTATAGCAGGATGCCTGAAGAGATCATTATATTATCTATGTTGATCTTCTGTATCTCACAGAACATCTGAAACATTTCGTCGCCCAGCCTATAATAAGCCCAGTAATTAGGCTACAGTGTTCTCACACAGAAAAACCCAAAGCTGCTCTATATGCAGCAGACCACCACAAAGGCCAAGTCATATGCACCAGAGGGGAACTAATTATTGGCAAAATTAGGCTTCATGATCCCACCAAGCAGTTTTTACACTGTTGCTGCATATTAATTCCTCTGCAGCACTCTTGTGACCAATTTTATTTTGAGCACTTGAACAAAGGCAAGCAACCAAACATTTATGAAAGACAGCTTCCCATACTGCTTCAAGCAGCTACTGCAAAACGTATACAACTGCTTTGAGCACTATAAAACATATACAACTCTGAGACATTTAAATCCACTTTATTTAGTACCCAACTCAAGCTAAATTAGAGGCAGTTTATATTGTCTTAGAGTATCCCACATAGAGGATTAGAGATGAAGAATTCTAACTGGGGGTGAGTAATCTTTTAAAGTTCAAAAATAGGAAGCTGACGTTTCAGTTCTAAACTGAAAAGAAAAAGGAATTCTTTTTAATTCTTAACAAAAACCAAAAGTGACTATTATAAAAACTAAATCCAGAAAGAAGAGCCTTACACTTAACCCAGGTTTAGCTTTGTTTAAAGGGAAAACCAAATGTCCAAAAGATACAGAACATAGTAACAATAATAGGAAAGATACTGGCAACATTTTAACCCTTAATACTAAATTCTAGCAAGACAAGGGGGAAAAAATGCAGGGACAAAGTAATCAGCAGAATACTTCTCCAGTGCAAACAAAGTAATCCTCAGAAAAGCTTACACAAACACACAGTACTTGTAGCACAATGTAAGGAACTTGTTTTGTGAACCTAATAACCTCTGCTGTCTCTGCGCATTCTGATGAACTTCTCTGTCAGCCCATGTCAGTACCTACTTCTCTGTTTCTGTTTGGGATCCTTCTGCTTTCCAGCTCACCAGGGCTCCTTCTTTTGTTTGTTTTGGCTGAAGTCCCAGAGAAATAACAACACCCTTGAGCTGAGTGTCAGAGAGTTCAAGAAGCAACAGGTGCCCAGGGGAATCTTCAACCTGGGTCTTCAGCACAGCCTCTGATAATGCACAACTTTTTTTCCCCTAACAGGAACATGGAATTGAGATACAGACAGGCTGAGTGAAAAGCAAGAGAAAACAATCTCTTTGAGACAAGAACTTCCTTATGTTTTTGGTTTTTCCCCTTTTGCTGCAGGAGTGCCCCTGAACTTTGGTTGATGACATCCAAATGGGATTTGCTTAGCTTTCTACTTATTAGTCTGAGTGCCTCACAGAAGATTTCCTCATCAAATCATCAAATACTGACTTCTGATTTTACTTCCAACATCACAGAAGTAAAGGAATTGACGTCTAAAATCCTCTGAATCAGATGCAGAAAATGAAGTGAAATTAGAGAAAAAAGAAATTGTGTTCTTCCCATTTACCTAACACTGGGGGCCAAAGGACGGCAGAGGATCCCTTAACAAAATCATCATCACTTCACTACTGTCTTCATGAACTGTACAAGCTTGTTTTTCCTTAGAAATCAAAAAAAAGTTTTGCTCTGAGTTGAATGACATATTTAGTGCCAAACTAAAGGATTTTAGTTTTTCATCTCAGCGAAAACAACCCCAAGACCATTTGGTTGAATTAAAACAAACCCTCCCCAATTCCTAGGCACTGAATCTGTACTTGACTGCTGAATTTAAGGTATTTAAAAAGCCTCCCCCCCCCAAAAAAAAAAGAAAAAGAAAAAAGAAAACCAACCACCAAACAAAAAAAGAATTAAAAAAAAAAGTGTGGATCATGCACTTTTAATTCCAAAATAAAAAAATGCTACATTTCTCTTAAGTCATGAGCCTTTCCTCAAGTTCTTCTGAAATGCTAAAAACCCTTGCTTAACAGACATAGTTGATTCTCTCACACCCCAGGAACTCCCTTTCTTCACTCTTCCTTCATTCTTTTGCTTCTACCTCCTTGTTATATTAGCAGGATTTGACTTTCACTCCCACTCCCTTTTTTATTCAAAGCCTGCTTTGAATAAAAATGAGCCAGTGTCCTGTTAATGACAGCCCCTTAGGGCATCTCCTTCACTTACAGCTTCCTCAACAGTATTTTTTTTTCTTCTGCAACTTACCATTTCCTCTTCATAGACGTACCTCTCATTCATCTTCTGCCTAGTTTCAAAAATTATGTACCTTTCTCAAGTACCTCTTGCATTCCTAATTTTTTATCCTTTCTTACTTTCTCTATGCCTTTTTTAAGCTTGCACATTTGGGTCATTACTTCTTTCCTCTCTATATTCTACTTCTAGATCATCCAGTAATCACTAATAAAATCAAGCATTTAAAGGTGTTCTCATTGCTTCAGAAACTTCACTCTGCTTTCTGCTCATTCTGGAGTCTCAGAAGAGACTTATTTGTTCTGACCATTTTTGATGGCACTTCTCTCATTCAACCCAACCTGTTGGCCATTTATTGTAATGCACACAATTTACAAATCCCCCAAACTACATCCAACAGATCTAATGGATTGTACTGGGAACTTCACAACCTGAACTGAATGCACAAGGCTACTCCTTGCCTTCCAGCAAACACTGGAATTTTCAAAAGAGCTCATGCCATGTCACTACAAACTACTATGAGACAAGATGTTTTAACTCCAACACTCAACACACATCTGGGTTTTTCTGTTTGAAGCCACTGATGACACACTCCCTTCTGCTCACTGGTGTCTCACTCCTGCTCATACCTTGACATGTTGCAAAATAAAGACTGCACTCATTTTAACACGTAGTTTCAAGTGCTGGCAGTCTGTGCTGGTTTATTACAATAGGTTACAGCTGAAACTATATCCACAGCCAATTTTGGAAATCCAATTTTTTTATAACTTTCTGATATTTTGGACTGGTCCAAAGGTCACTCGTTTGCAAAAGAGGGGGAAAAAAAGGAGGAAATCAAATGTTTTACAGTTGAAAGGAAGACCAGTCGCTTTTTAATGACGTTTGCTGTAGTTTACACTTCTAAACCTAAGAAATTGGATTAATAGCTTCTTTATTTACTAATCCTATGTAGAGTCTTACAACACCTAAGACTACTTTGCTTGGTTTTATTGGTTTCCTTCTACTTGTCTGCACATTGAACCTTGTTGCAAAAGAGATTTTTCAGGATGACTGCTTGCTGGCTTTTTTGTTTGTACTTAATGATGTCTGGATAGCACAAAATCTAAATGAAGTTATGGCTTTAATCATAATTCTGACTCAATTCTGCACAACCACCAACAACAGAAGAAAAATAATCCTAATTTTAAATTAAAAGCACATGAAAATTTGAAAAAGTTGTTTTATCTTCCATTTCTTCCACAGGAACCTAAATCCTCAAAAACCCACATGTGTACACACAGGTCTTCTTCTAAAAACACAGCCCTTCATAACACTTCTTACAAAATGAAGCCAAGAGGAAACTGAACACAACATGAAACATGGCTTTAGAGGACAAGAAAGAAAAAAAAGCCTGAAGACAACCACAGCAGATCAGAGTTTGTTAACTCAGGATCACATTTACTTGGAGATGAGGTTTTAACAGACCAGAAACAGTCTGCACATAACAGCCTGTTTGTCCCAGCCACGAGACACCCCCAAATTTGAAATAAAGCTACCAGCTGTCTTAGCAAGATGCCATGTCACTGTTTGTGGGGTTGATCTATGAAGTCATTTTCTTAGAATACTTACCACTAAATCCCAGTTATTTTGTTCAAGCAACGTTATAGCTTCATCAATATTTTCAATACCAGTACATGCCTAAAAATAAAAAGAAGCAGTAAACAGAATTAAAAGCATTGATCAAAATCAGGGTATTAATACTTATAATTCCATTAATTTCAGCAGGATGACAGGAAAAGTATAGGTTTTCCCTTTCTGTTACAAAAGGGTAATCCAGAAATCAGACTTCAAGTTTTAAACACCAAACATTTAGACATAATTCCCTGTTCCACCAGAGGACTCTTGTGTAACCTTGAGCAAGCCACCTAGGGAAGCAAGACCAAGTAGTTATTTGTAAAATTAGGACAACAGTGCTGTCCCATAAAGGTGTTTTACCTTCAAAACTCTGAAGCACTCATACTACTTTAAAAGGGAGCACAAAAAACCTCAAAGTTCTAGCCCTGTACTCTGGCTTTACTTCGTTCAAGAAATCTAACACAATAGCATTTTTAAGGTAGTGTTAACTCTCATAAAACTTACTTTGAACTGAGCTTAATTCCATCTACTCTACAAAAACTGAGATGCAGCAACCTGCTGCCTTTTTTTGATACCCAGACCTTTTCAACTATTCAACTTCAGCAAGCAGAGCATTGCTATATTCATTCTGCCATATATTTGCCACCATTCACATTGAAGCATATCAGGTATATTCACCAAAAGAGAAACAAGGAAAGAGCTAAGTCTCTTTCTGGAATTTATCTTTCATCATAACTGTATTCAAACATACAAGAGGAGTTCAGACTTTTACAAGATCTGAAACATGATTGTCTTCCTTCTGCTCCACCACACAGTTATATAAAACTATGGCATAAAAAACTGCATCCAAAAAAATAAAAAAAAAAATAACCTTTTAACAGTAGTAACACAGAGCTAGATAGCAAGAGCAAACAGATCAGTTTTCCTGATTCTCTTTATGTTGTAAGAGAAGAAGGAGGCTACGCAAACACTTTTTTCCTTCCGAGACATAAAGAGCCATCATCAGGTCATGTATTTCCCAAGTTCTTTTTTCCCAATTTACAACCATGAAAACATAAATAGAAGAAATCACGAAGAAATTGAAGGCTAATTCTCTCTTCCTAAATTCAACCCTGAAAAAATCCACACTTACAAAGCACTACATGCAGTATGTCAAAACAAAATGGACCAGTCTGAAGGACAAGATGAAATTATGGAGAATTTTGCCTGCAGAGGAGAGGCAGCAGTTTCTACTGTGCACTACAGTGCCCTCCTCACCACATTGATCCTCTCTGCAACAAGACAAAATTTCTTCCACTTCAGAGCATGCTGTGTTAATGCTGAATTTCACCCACTTCACATTGGGAGTGCTAAAAAATACCACTTTGCTCCTCAGAAGCATCATTTTGCCTTCTTTTCATTATTTCTTGCAGTTATTTCTGAAATTAAAAATGGAACAAAACTTCAACACAATCCCCAGCAAATGCTTACACATTTATATACACTTATGCCAGGTAGGTTTGCAGAGTACAGGTCCTGAGCTTGTCATTTCTGAAATCACAGGATGGTTCATACTACCATTAACCTGCCACTGGAACTGATATCAACAGATCTGATGCAAAAATCCTGCTTTGAGGAAAAGCTCTGCAGAAGTCTGAGATTCTGTTTAAATCCCAGTGAAATACACTTAATCTGGTCATTACAGAAATAGTTACTATTTCTCATTTGTCAGGCCTCCAAAATCTGCATGACTTTTTTAAGAACTACCCTGTGTTCCAACCTACAACAAGAACTTGACCAACAATGTGTTGTTTTCATCCCTGGGCTGTGCAGATGAAGTTGAGGAGATGGCACCTACAATACAGGTTTTAACACTGGTTTTAGTTGTCCCCTCTTTTTATTGTTCCTGCAGCTCTGCTGACTTGCCACTGTCCTCTCTCAGCCCATACGAACTGCAAATCAATTCAGCTCATTTTGGCATACTCTCATTTTGAGATAAACTAAACAAAATTAGCTTATCCTTCTGCCAGAGCACACAGTGAAAGGAGTTAACTCATCCCAGTGAGGGCAGAGTAATTAAACAGCTAATTCACCTGGTGTCTGCATCCTTCCTGAATCATCTTTCTGGTGATTTACAATGTAAAATAGAAGCCTGCTCTTGGTCACTTAGCAATGCAGAGTCACTGGGTAACAAGAACAGACAGGTGTAAACACCAGCTGAAAATAAAGATCATCAGAATTCTTAATAGCCAATACAAGCATTTTTGGTTAAAATCTTCGCACCATTTTTACAGTCCTAATATTTGACTTTGTGGAGCTCTCTTTGAAAGATTTCACTTTCCAGACGGATCATTTTTGCTAGTTGTCAATGAAACAGAAAACAAACATTTCAGAATTGCACCAGGAAAGAATGAGTGCAAAAGAGACATTCCCAGATCTTCAACACACTGTTAATGTCAAAGTCGCAGCAAATTAAGATTATTTAGAATCTTATTATACTTCAGTATTTCAACATTCAAATACTACATACTACAACATACAAATCTTTGTATCAAGTCAAAAGCCATCAGTGAGACCAAAAACCCCCAGCAACCAAAAACTAAAGCTGCTTCCTTGTCATCACCTGCATCATGCCATGCAAGCTAAACTAAAGAAAATCACCTGGTTTGCATGTCTTTGATTTTCCCTAAGAAATTAAGCACACGAGACAGGCAGTCCCTCAATGGCAAGCGTGACATGACGTCAAAGGCTCTGTGGTGACAGATCAGTCCCAGAACAACCTGGCCTGCTCCTGCCTTAGTTTCCTTTAGGGAAAGGCACACAGGAAAGCAGCAGGTTCTGCGAGCAACACAATTAACAAAGTCTGGTTCGGTTCCTCATGGGCTTGCCTCTCATCCCCAATTGCAAGGTCTGATTTCAGCTTTTCCTATGGCTGGAATATTTATAAGGGCTTCTTCTAATGGACTACTTCCCATATTACCTGGCTGTATTTTCATTATATTTGGAATACTTTCATTAGTACAAGTCCAAGGGACACCTGGCACCTTAGGGCTCTATGCCTCACTTATCTAGAAAGGCACACTAGAATTCACAGGGTTTAATTATTTACAATACACAAAGATGTTTTCCTCATGTTTATTCCTTTTATTCTACCCAAGCAAGAAGCAAACAAACAAAAATTTAATGGGAATAAGAAAGTTAAATTTGTTCAGAAACAGAAGTGAAAAAATCCTTAAAAATATAGCATAGCAGATGAGCCCTAAAGATGCAAAAATGCATCTTTGAGCAAGTAAAGAGAGAGGCTGAGGAAACTTTTTATTATTCACAGATTTTTATTCAGCTTTATTTTCATGAGAGACCTGCTTAACAGAAGGCATTAAATATTTTAAAAGAAAATTCCTACCAGAATACTACTAAATCTTGTTTCAATGAACAACCAGCACATCCTCTAAGTCATTAAAAGATGAAAGAAACAAACCACCACAGGAAAGTTAAAACCTTGAAGGCTCACTGATTTGTAAACCTTTACACATCAGAAAGAAACCAAAGAACCTTTTTTGGAAGACAAAGGAGAAGAAAAGGTAGAACAAGTTCTTCCTCCTCTCTGCATTTCCTGTAAATCTAGGATATCATTTTCAGCCTTCACAGCAGCTCCAGAGACTCTGCAGTCACTTCTGTGCTTTTCCAGACCACACAAGAGGAAAACGAACGCGAAGATGAGAAAACTATTGTTGTGTGCTGAATACAAAATCAGATTCTGAAGATAAAGTTACTGAATATTAAAACAACTTTCTTAGCATCCTGCTTTTCCAGGGCAGGTAAGCGTTTTCCACCAGGCAGATTGAAATTTTTACATAATAAATTTTAAGAGTGTTCTCCAAATTTTTTCCAGGTAGTTTCATATCCCCACAGCAATCAAGACCTTACCCTTGGAATGTTTCACAGGTAACCATTAGGGTGCTATCCTTGCATAGTAACATTAACCTTAATAAAAGAAGCAAAGTAGTTTCTGAGGAAATAATTCAACAGGAAAGAAGTTGTGAGGGCAGACAGACACCAAGGCATTTGAGGCAAACCTAGGAGCTGCATCCAGAAAGCTGTAATGCAGGATGCCAGACTGACTCTCCTAAATCCCCTGCAGGATAGTCTGACCCCAGCAGCTGTAACAGCTGGATGTGGGTTTTGAGACCCTCTGTGACACCCCACCCCACCAGCCCAGGCTCCAGCCCACCTCCACAGCCCAGGGAAGCAGCTGCCTTCCCCATCTGGCAGCAGCTGCTCCCCGGCACCTGCTGCAGGGATGCAGGCAGTTGTTCCATGGCAGAGCTGGAAGGGCCAGCTGCTGCTGCCAGCACAGAGCCAGGCTGATCCTGCAGGGCTGATCCTGCAGGGCTGCTCCTGCAGCAGGGCTGGAGAGCAGCAGCAGCTGCTGACACTCACACACACTGACACTGCTGCCCCGGCAGGCAGCGCCTGCAGCTGCTGCACAGGAGCTGGCAGCACGTGGCATTTGGCAGCAAGGCATGATGCCTCTCACCTGTGACACCATTCCCCTTCTGGCCAAGGCAAAATGCAGCAGGCAAAGTATCCAAAAGGCCACTTTTGGCCCAACAGCAGTAGCTGGATATGGAGGACTAAGTCTCAACGTTCCTTTTGAACAATTTCATACTTCCTTTGGGTACCAATAGTAGCTGTATTTTCTCAAAAAACGGGACCATCTAACCCAAACTAGGCCTAGAACATTTTGTACAACACGTTCAGCCCCACTAAAACCAGGCAGATAGACAGCTGTGAATTACACTGGGTACCACTTGCTTCTGTAACAGTCAGATGAAAAATAAAATAATCCACAGCTCAGCCCATCATTTCAATGTTTAGCCAAACGCTACAATGCCCAAAGAAACAACTGCATGGAGGTACCACAAGATTCAACTGGATTGCCTAGGAAGAAAAGCTTTCACCCTCTGAGATCTCCTGCAAAAGCTCAGGAAGTCAGCATTAACACACCTTCAAGTGCACAGACAACACTCTAGGAAGTGCTTACTTTTGAAAGCACCAAATAAATTTTTATCACTAGATAGAGC